CGGTGAACTCGCGAGTGCCCTTTCAACGCTGCTTGCTGCTTTAATTTGTGTGTGTGTGTGTGTGTTGTATTTTGGCTGATCTGGGCCCATCATGCACACCTACTCTGAAGCTTTTCATATATTTTGTTTTCTATTCAGTGGTCATGACAGCAGTGACAGAAATTCATTTTTCTGTTAAGGAATGATATTTGCCCCCTTAAACTCATTTCCATTTTTTCCATTCATAAATTCATAAATGTAATTTTTTTTCTAACCTTATTAAATATGTTGACTTGCATGTCATCAAAACCAAAATTACTTTATTAACATAGATCCCTATTCCCTACGTGTTAACCTCTCAAAAACCCCATACATTTTTTTCCCATGTATTTGCATTTGTTAGGAGACAATAGGTAATTGTGTCCCCTTCCAATGGAACTTTAATGTGACTTTAATTTATCTTTATGTTTATTAAAACAGTTGATTAAATTGTTAGAAATGTTATGAAACTAATTTATATATGCTTAATAAACATCTCTGCAAACCAACTGCAGTACTTTCCCATCCCCTAGGTAAAAATCCAAATTTTTGTGCTAACCTTCCTTCAATCCTGTTCAGAAGCTAAATGAAGAGTAATAAACCAATAACTCTCTGTGACCTGTTGATTATAAAGGTTATCTGAGTGCAGAGGTGACCTAATTAAGAATGATAATGAGTAACACACCTCTAGTGTTCACTGGTCCACTTTTCAAAAACTCACCAATCACATCACTGCTCACAGAACTCATGTTAACAACTCTCCCCATTGTTACCTTGCAGTGACCTTGGCAGTCGATCTCTGTTTATGTTTGTTTGCAGTCACACCTGCCAAAAGGGCATCTTGATGGCCTGTCCAAGTGCAGGTTATTCTGCACCATTTATTAAATCAATCTAGCACTGAACACTCTATCCACCTTATTTTTAACCTAAGAGCAGACTTGGTCATTTGCAACTTGAATGTGCAAAGCTTCCCTTATTCGCCATTTCCAGTTACAGTCTCGCACAGAAATAGCTTACTTTCATAATGAAAAAATAAAGTGGGTAGGCCACTGCCTCACATTTGTAGCAATAGAGCTTGAATAGTAAGCTGTATATTCAAGTTTTAAATATTAATGAGAATCGGAAGAATTTAGGGAGAATTTGTGGAATAAAAGAAAAAAACAGTAAAGTAATAATCACTGTACTGTATGTTAAATCGAATCACAAAACATACACACACACACACACACAAAATGCCAAAAATGCAGCTTTCTGTCCTGTGTTGACATGACGTTTGGGTGGGCCTTATCAAAAGGCTCATTTTTAATAGCAGTTAGGCTCATGGTACACATACTCTAACTTTTTGATGATATAGATCATTTTGATTTGATGGGGTTTTTATACATGTGGCCTTTTATGTGTGTGTGTTGTTGATGGGTGTATGTGGTAGTCTTCGCCTCAAGATCCATTTCTGAATGTCAGAACATCTTTACTGTCTCTATCTATCATCTCTCTCTAACTTGATCTCTCTCCGCTCTCTTATCATTCACATGAGTCATGTAAGGACCGTAATGTCTGGTTCTGCTGCTCAAGTACAGCTGGGATTAGACTGTAACTTTCCCTCTACTGGTAAATATTTGATGCTGTTTGCTGTTATATGCCTGTCTGAACACACTTTCATCACACTGTGGTTCTTGTTCCAGAGAAACATCTTTCTGGTGTTTGCATTCACTGTTTTGTGGAAAGGTATGGTGTTATACTTCACACTCAGATTCAGGAAAACCATCTCAAGAGCTTGCTGGCAGACACAGGGAAATTCATGACAGGTCTAGAATACTTAAAGCACTGAACATGTGAAGCTGAAGAGACAGTGTGTTAAGCGCTCGTGTGTGTATGCATGACTGTACGGTTTTGTCTGGGAGTTGGAGTGCAGCAGATTAGCTGTGAGCACTTAGGTCTGCTTTTCTTCTCTGATGTGATTCTTTCTGATTCCCTTTTCTTCGTTTTTCTTCCTTCATCTCTCTCTCTCTCGCTCTCTCTCTCTATGGTGAATCTCCTCTCCTTAGATCACTTAGAAAGAAATTCTTGTTGATCTTTAACATTTGTTCTTTCAAAGCCATTTTGTATCTAAATGTGAGAAAGACTTAATTCTCTCTCTCTCTGTCTGTGTGTGCATGTGTGTGTGTGTGTGTGTGCAAGTATAAATATTCTGATTGATTTCAATACATTGATTTTTCATTTTAATGTGGTTCTCATTGCATTGATGTATGGATTTTCAGGTCAGTTCCATTACAGTTAAAGCTTAACTTTATATTTATTATTCACACAAAATTTCCAAAATTTAACAGTGTTTAGACATTGTATAACATTAATGAACAGTGTTGTTGTTGTTTTCATTTAATATTAATTTGTCCCCTGTTCATTTTATTAATGATGTTCAATTAAACAAAAGCCATTATTCTCTCTTTGGTCACTTGACTTTATTTGCTGCTCTCCTCCATCAATGGCTGACCAGTATCATGACAGGTGCCACTGTTTTCCTGTAATTCTGTTCCGTTCATTTCCTCCTTTGTGTTTTAATCTCCTTTAATGCTCTCACCATCTCTCTTTCTGTCTCTCTTCCCTTTGTCCCTCTCTCTGTTTGCCCTCCAAATCCATGAACTGTCTCTTATAATGTCATCCTCATTTAGATAACATGATTTGAGGATTAGGATTATAATAATATAAAAATGAAATATTACAGGAAAAATCGATTTAGAAATATTCCCGCTTTCCCACTGATGATACCCAACTCCCTCTTATAATTATATTATTATTAAAATTGTCAGTTTTCACTTCAAGCTTTTTATGCACTGGCTCATAATATTATGTTATCTTTATTTTTTAATTAAAGAGAGTTCATGTCAGAAAACATCAAGAAATAGCAAAGTAAACTGATATTGATGACCACATCACAAATGCTCCTTCTGTTTACTGTTGTTTTACTGCGTTGCATTACAGACCAAAATAGATTTTGCTTCACTGTCAAAGGTCAGCAAGATCAAAGGTCAGAGAGGTTCATGTTATACTGTGCATCTTTAATTTTCACTTGTTTAGCAGCCAAATACACATGCCACTCTACTCTCTATTTCATTTATAGCGGCACACATTCTGCCGTTGCCTTTCTCTTTCACTCTCTCTCTCAGTAGGAGTTAATTTTTAATGCTGAGTCATTTGGTGTGTACAGGAGGGTGCGATTGCAGTATCACTGTTGTAGTGTAAATAATAGATGTCTCTGGTATTATTGAAACTCTAAGTGTTCCTCAGCACAACTTGGTGCTCACAGCAGCATGCATTTCTTAGTAAGGACATGAGTCACCAAAAACTACTGTCAGTGTTAACGCAAAGTACATTGTTGGCAGATTTTATACTAAGAAAACAGCTTGAAATTAATTTAACAACTATTTCTATAAAAGGTTTTCTTCACTGACTACACGCATTGCAGAGTTTACAAGTGGGATCCATTTGGAGGTGTTTTACAGCTACAAGCAGCTTTTTGAAGAAGAGTTTTGTTAGAATAATTGCGTTTGGATCAGTTTTTTGCCTACATTGTGTGGACCAAAGGAGGAAAACAGCTCAATAAACACAGTAAATAATGTTTAAATGAAAGTAATAAAATGCAGAAAGGTTCATGTAATGGTTAGATTTAAGGGGAGTGGAAAGAAAACATGTTTGACTCAATATAACAACAACAGAAGTCAATGGAAAGTCACTATATAATAGAAGGAAACAAGTGTCATTATGTGACCAAAGCCCATAGCTTTTTGTAGAAGTCTCAAATGATCAGGTGTGCTAGATGATATGAGAAAAGGGAAAAATATAGGCACTGTCATGTTTTTTGTATTTGTGTGTGTTAGTTAATCTGAAGAGCTGTATTTGTCTTTCAAACTTCAATCTTCATTAGAATTATGATATTCTGATATCATCTACAAGTAACAACTATAAATATGATAGAATACCTATTTCCAAACATTTATTTAACTGTATTAATGATTTAAAATGGAAATCATTTTGAAGATGGTGCTTATCCTGAATAAAACATAGGCCTAGTTGCAGTGCAAAATCATTTGTATTCTATATGAAAAAAAGATGCCAGCAGCACAGACAATAGGCACTATACTTAGCTTGTGTAAGAGCTCTGACTCATTCCACATTAGTTAGCAACCATTACATTGTCTTATCTACACTCATTTTCATTTCATTTCTAATGTCTTAATTTAGCATCTTCTCTCTTTACTGGTAATGTGTTAGGCAAGCTCATGGGATTAATTTGGCTATTCGTGGCTCACACTCAGTACGTTTCTATCCAACAATTTTTATGTAAATTCTGAATTTAGAAATCCTGAATATAAACGCTTGATATATGCATAAACTCCAAAATGCGCAGTTCTGTACTGAGGTGGGTTTTCTCATGTCAACAATGACATTAAATTGATGGAATCTTTAAATTTTTTTACAATTATTTAAGACTATTTAAGCATGTGTTTCTGCTCTTATTGGCAACAAACATGCCGACAGAGAGGCTGCATAGTTGATAAAAACGCATATAATGTTGCACATTCTCTTTGTGAAACATTTGGATGGAAACCCAACTAGTGTAAACCTATTTAGTGTGTGAATGCTTTTCCAATTTGGTCAAGGTAAAACACACATACACACACACGCGCACACTTTCTGTCGTTCAGAGAGCATCTATGAAGGTGATCCAGTGCTGTGTATTGGTTTGTGAGTTATGCTTTCACCGCCTTCATCCCTGAAATGATTGCATCCTAGACAAAAACCCTCCAGCATAGCATGCCCACTTAGATGGAAATACACATTTGTGGACACGCATGCATAGAATCAAGTGACAAAGAAATCGTTATGCCATTATATTTCATTTATTTATTTAATAGTTTATTCATTTATTTTTATGACATATATTTATTTATAATTTATGTATATCTTTATATATTATTGCTGCATTGGAGCCTTACTCAGTATAGACTCTCTCTGCCATTCCCATAGAGCTATAGATCTCCTCCCGCATGCTTCAGAATACACCTCAAAAATATTGGGTGCAAAAAAGAAACAGTCTGTTTCTATACACAGCTCGTAACACTATCTAGCCATTCTAATGATGCTTCGTAACATGCCTTTGTCTGGAAATGCCCATAGTATAAAATCGCAATTTTTTCTGTCCATTACAGAACAAATGCAGATAAACAACACAATTTAGTCTTTTTTTTCTTTCTTTTTTGTTTTTGGCAATCAATGTGTAATTCTTTTTAAATAATGGCAAAAGCTACACTTCAATGTGTGAAATACATTGATGATGTAATATCGATATTCTGAGATATGTACAGTAATGAATGGAGGGGTTGGAGAAAGGAATTCCGGGATTTGGACTGGGGACTGTGGTGTGTCAATGTTGATTTTTGCATGAGGATGGAATCTCTTATGGCCCTCCAGCAAACGTGGGGGTGGCTTATCAGTAGATGAATGTTCGTTTTCTCTTCTTGCCTTGTATACTTAATAGCTATATCTATAAAACTATGCAGAAAGAGACAGAAAATGAAAGAAAGCAAGTGGGGGAGAGGCGTAGAGGTGTCTGTGCTGAGGTACAGTTTGATACTCTTTTGTTTGTCGTCCTTTTTCTTTCAAAATGTGAGGGATGTCTCAGCATTGACCCTGGAGAACATTTTTCATACTTTACAATGCTTCTGAGTCACATGCTGAGCTGCCCTCTAGCTTCATCCCTCCATCTTTCTATCTCTTTTGACATCAAGCAACTCAAATCAGTTTTGTTTCTTAAATTTTTCTTTTTCTGTTGGAAGACTTTTGTTGTTATGCAGGGCTCAGGGATATCAGTATGTGTGTGAGTGTGTGTGGTGTAAATGTGTTTGTCTACTAAGTATGAGTCCCGCTCTGTTCCCCAGCGCTCATCATTAAAGTCCGAAAAAGCAGTTTTATTCTCCATAAAGTTTAGAATGCCAAATCTGATTTTTAGTTTTCACCCTACCCCTCTCGCACCCTGTCCAAACTATGCATAAAATTTGCAATGTCAAGTCTGCAGCACAGGGCGTGGCCGTCGCCTCGTCAGCCACTCCCAACCTCGTCTAAGCCCCTCCCCTATTCGCTGTCAGACATAGGCAGATTCACTAGACTGGGTTCGGCCCAGGTTGGGCACAGAGGAAAGGTGGGACACATCCTTTTTCCGGATCTCACAAATGGACTTCCTGCGAGCCTGGACACCGCGGATGGCCGTCTTAATCTTCCGCCAGCCCAGATGGTTGAGCTCAGCCAAATTTAGCACTACGCAGATCCCGCTAACTGCGAACATGAACACCAGGAAAACTGTCTTCTCCGTGGGACGTGACACGTAGCATTCAACCTCCTTCACGCAAGGGTAGCGGTCGCACTCAAACATGGCGGGGACGTTGAATCCATACAGGAAGTACTGGCCGGCGAGAAAACCGATTTCCAGAACGTTCCGGAACACCACTTGTATGACATAGAAACGGGAAATGCCCTCCTGCTGACGGATCTTGGCACTTTTGGAGTATGTGACCCCTTGCGGAATGTTGGGAATGTCTTTCAAATCCAGACAATCGCGGTCGTCTTTGCTTTCCGGGTGCACCAGGATACCATTGATGTTGCGGAGTTTGCGGCTCAGCCCATGTCCGTGGTCGATGTACGGGCCGTGCATTAGGGTGTAACTGCGATCTTTGTGCTTGGCAGACTGGTGCACGGAGTAAGTGATAAAACAGAGGCTGGGCGTACACACCAAGATGATCTGGAAAACCCAGTAACGGATATGGGAGATGGGGAAGGCTTTATCGTAGCAGGCCTGGTTGCAACCCGGTTGCAGCGTGTTACAGATAAACATAATCTGTTCGTCCTCGTACACCTTCTCTCCCACTATACCCACGATCAGGATCCGGAATATCACCACCACTGTCAGCAGGATCCTTTGGGGGAGAGAAAAGAAGAGGGAGAAAGAAGCAGAGGAAAGCAGTGGTAGAAACAGGATTGAAGAGGGGAAGGAAGAAAAACCAAGAAGAAAAAGGATTAGAGTTAATTTTTTCATTCAACGGCACAGCGTTAAACTGCTTTTCTAACTCCCTCTATCTCCCAAATGCAGACACGTGCACAAAACACGACAAATAGTGAGTAATTACTTTAAGAAGCAGAGGTAATGCAGGCATTTAGCATTTCTTAATTACCTGCTACTCATTTTATGCTTAAATTTGTAATTTTTTAAAGTTAAAAAACATGTTTCTATTTCAGCTTGATATGAAAAGTAAGCCATTCCTATTTCCCCTACATTCCATATTTCCCCACTTTTTTCATTTGACCAAACTGACGCTGGTTTAACCAATGTGAATTTGTGGCAAGGCTATCAATTTGTATGACTAATGGCAGATTGGTAGCCTGTTTGACAAAGAATCATTAGGTGTGTTTGACTTGTAATGTAATGCTGCACAGCAGAGGTGGGGGCAAGTCACACATGTTCAAGTCTCAAGCAAGTCTCAAGTCCCTACCATCAAGTCTCAAGCAATTCTCAAGTCACAGTACAAACAAATCAAGCAAGTCAAGTCAAGTCAGTGGCTCACCTCAAGCAAGTCAAGTCGAGTCCTGCTAAGGATCAAGTCAAGTCAAGTCACAGTATCAAACAGGAACAAATATTTTCTGATTTACAAAGAGGGATGCTTAACACTAAATCACTGTTGAGAGGCAAACGCCAGCGAATTTAAAGTTTGACATCGTTAATTAATTACAAACATGAGATTAATCATTTATAATCACTTTAATTTAATGACAGACTTAAGCTGAATTTTAAGACCAATGCTGTTTTCAACGATCGATTACATACCTTTCCTTTTTGAAGTGCCGACGTCCTGGCTTTGTAAATGCATACAGTTTCGAAGTGTTTATCCAAACATCTCGGGAGATTCTCTTGCTCCCTGTATTTGGCGCACTGTGTTCCTGACTGTGCTCGGTGCAGTGTCATGAACTGCGCAGACTCGGATCACTTCTGCCACTCGTTCAGTGGCTTGCGTTTTGTTTACCAAATTATGTCGCAATGATTTATAATAATAATTAGAGTTGTTATAAAGTCAAGTCCTGCCGAGTCATGAAGGTCAAATCAAGTCAAGTCTCAAGTCACTGGATCTCAAGTCCAAGTCAAGTCAAGTCATTTTCTTTATTTAGTCAAGCAAGTCACAAGTCCTTAAATTTGCGACTCGAGTCAGACTCAGTCAAGTCATGTGACTCGAGTCCCCCACCTCTGCTGCACAGACCAAAAAGTAACAATTATTTTCATGCAATCTTAATGTTATATTATATAATAAAATTTATCAAAAATATAGATCCCACTTTATTGGTATTTAAGTAGTCTGATGAAGCTACAAAGAAAGTTCTGAACGAAAAGTGAAGAATGTACAGGTCTGGGCTGGGTGTGTTAAATGCCTTAATTTTAATGTGTTATTATATATTTTTTTCCAAATTCATATGTTAAATCAGTAGCCCTACTGTTTATTTGACAAAAATTGCATATATTCCATTTCATCTGCGCTAAAGAAAGCAAATACCATGTGAAGGTCACTACGGGAAGCAGAACGTATCTGACTTGACTGCTCCTTTTTCAACTCAATGTGACAAATCTTGCCGATCTGTAAGGTCAGCCACAGTTTAAGTCAAAAGCATCTAATATTTTGGCTAATGCACGGAGACCTGGATATGACAAACTGGGGATTAATAAAAGATATTGTGGCCCCAAATTAAGAATTAGTTCACACAATTTCATTCATTCATTCCTTTGTTTTAGGCCAATTGTGGACACGCTGTACTACTCTGCTCCTTTGTATTAATTGGGGTAAATTGTGGCAATAAATCAAGAGACATAATTAATATACTGTGGGAATGGATTAAGACAATGTTGCCACAATTTAACTAAAATGAGGGGACACGTGTGTGCAGGCATATGATCCCTGCTGATGATAACTGGGGCATACTGCATCAAGGCCATCAGAGTTTGTGTTGGGACGACTCTCCCCATCTCTGCTCTCTTATCAGCTCTTTGCAAGCTTAAATTAGAACTCTATGAAAAAATGAATGAAGAAACACACACACACAGACAGAAATCAACACACAAGCACAGACTCAGACACATCTGATCATAGTGATAGATAAGAGCAGAGGAGATGTGTGATATCACAATGACACATGCAGCATAATAATGTGACATACAACACACGATGTGAGTGTCCTGAGGAGAAGTAGCTACAACACCTTGAAGCTTTATGCAAGGGACTCACGTGAGTGTGCCATTTAGAGCGAAACATCTCCACCCTTCTGCCTCACACACACTGTCTCTCTCAACAGATGCAGCCTGAGCACACAAATCTTCCTCAGTCTGTCTAGCTCTTTTCCCCACACACACCCTTGTGCTGAGACCGTCCTTCACTCACAATAACCTTGCTCTTGTACCAGCCATGATGTTATTTCATTGCAGGCTGGTCTTGATGCATGAGCACATACATTTTCTCATTCTCTCACAGTCTCTCTCTCGCTCAGACACACACACACACACATATAGTGTGAGCTATATAATACATATACAGTATTTTGAATTTAGTATTGAGACTTATAATCATCAAGTACTTAATTTAGGTCCTGTCGACTGTGTTAAACTACTAACTCTGCAACAATGGCCTTTTCTGTTCATCCTTAAAGAATGATGCATATAGCCCTCAGTCCAAGTCCCTCAGCTTATTTTTAGCATATTGTGTGGTGTAGTTTAGTAGCTGAAGATCTGGGTTGGTAACGAAAAGGTTGCATCAGGCAATGCTTGAAATATGTGCCCGTGAGCACAGCACTTCACCCCAGGTTTCTCTACGGAGACTCCTTGTAACTGAATATAGTGCCATTCTACAGTAAACTTGCATAAATGTGTAGAGACATTGAGCATCAGCCCTGGTTGTGTGGCGATAAATAATAAAATAATTGTTCTTTTCTATATTTTATATTGTTGTTATTCAGTTGGCCTATTAAGAAGTTTTTATGCTCTCACCAAGGTTCATTTGTTTGATTAAGAACATAGTAAAACATTAGTATTGTGAAATATTATTACAAATGAAAAGTAACTTTTTTTAATATTTTCATATATTTAAATGTAAATATTCCTGTGAGGCAAAACTGAATTTTCAGTAGCCATTACAGTTGTGCTGCTTTATATTTTTGTGGAAAATGCAATAGTGTTTTTCAAGGTTCTTCAATGATTTGAAATTTGAAAAGAACAGCATTTATTTGAAAAACAAATGTTTTGTAACTAAATAAATATCTTCACTGCCCCTTTGATCATTTTAATAAACTCTTGCTGAATAAAAGTATTCATTAAAAAAATTCAAAGGCCCCAAATGCTTGAACAGTATTGTATTTTACTGGATAGAGAGTAATGAAGACAAATTGGTTTTGCTTTCTATCAATGGTGGAGAGTCTTAAGTGAAATGTCCTCCTTCCAGACTTAATTAAGCATAGAGAATGAGAGTGATGAAGGCATGCCTGCTTAATTTTCAGAAATTCATTTTCAGAATGACAGCTGTTTATACAATATTAGGGCAATTCTGGGCAGTCAATGCAAAAAAAATATACCGGTTTTTATATTTGTATATATTTGTATACTCTGAAAGTTAATTTGGTGAAAAGTGAGTAATTTAATGGCGTTTTTCTCTATTCTTCAAGGGATGCATAGTTTATTGCCTCAAAAAGGAATTTGAATACACACCCTTGTACCTTTTTCTCTTCTATTTCTTTGTCTTCAAATCAAGATTCACAATGATGTGATTAATTCCAGAGCTGGTTGATTTGGTTCATGGCGTAAAATTCTTCATTATAGAAAGACTATTTTGAAATCATTACAGAGAAAATGAATGTGAAAAGAATAATGGGAAATAATTTGTGCTCTGAATCAAACAGACTAATGTTAGCTCAGTGCTGTCTAGGACGGTTAGCACTGGTTTTAATGGACATATGGTGAACATTTGCGCTGCGCTAAGTAGGACAGTTATGACTCTTGATCAAACTCAACGGCACTTTACTGTAGTATAACAGCAAGAGATGTTTCTCGGTTCAAACGGCAGACGGTGTAACCTTTATACAACACTTAATAATAATTACCGTAGGATACGAAAAAAATAACGTTAGCTCTTCAGCGCTGTATCAATGACCAAAGGCCCTGGTGGGTCTTTAAATTAGCAGCACATCCCCCACTCCCTGCTGCCGTTACTATAGCAACCACATAGTGAACCACTCAGCACTCTGCACTGTACCAGACAGAGAGAGAGAGCGATAAGGAAGGAGGGAGAGAGGAATGATTGATGGAATATTGGGAAAGAGAGGAAAGAGTAGAGCCTGGAATGAGAGAGAACGAGAGCAAGTAGGCGTACCAAGGGCACAGGAAGGAATAAACCTACATACTAAAAGTGTGGAAATGGGGGATGATGAAAAACACAGGGAATGAGAAAGAGGGACATTTCAAGGTGACCTCAACAGAGAGAAAGAAAGAGCTTGAATATGACGAGAAAAGGAAGGAGGCAAGAGGAGACAGACAGATGGGCAGAGGCAGACTAGAGGAGCAATGAAACAAACAGACAGATACGAAGAGACAGATGGAGAGAGACGACTGGGAGCAAGTACCGAGAAACAGCATATTCAGGAAATAAAACATACTGAAGGACTCCTTTTAAAGCACCTGGTGTGTGTGCAGTAACACACATATTGTGTATAGTGTGTCAGTTTTCGGCAGTGTAATTTACAGTGAATGGAGCGTGTGTGATGGTGGAGCTTTGTGTGTGTGTGTGTGTGTGTGTGTGTGTGTGTGTGTGTGTGTGTGTGTGTGTGTGTGTGAGCAAGCAGCTGGAAATGTGTCCGGTACACCGACTCTCTCCATGTTTGGACATAAGACTGT